ACTTCCTGCCTCGCAAACCTCACTACATTTACCGAACGTTGGTCAAAAGCAGTGGACGAAGGACATCCAGTTGATGTCATGCGCCTTGACGTCAGCAGGGTATTTGATTGCATTCCACAATGCACATGTTACTGACAACATTTTAGTAGCACATGTTTTTTAACGTAAGCGATTGCATGTTCAGCTTTCAGTAGGGTTTTCAAGGGCATAGCCTATTACCCTTAAAATATATTAACCTATTCGTTAAGAACGAGTTAAGCGTACGGACGCACTGTTTAACTGTCGCAGTGCGGGCAACGTCACCTATGATGACAATACGCAGAACGATTGTAAAAGTGGAGCATCTGGGCGGCCACACCTGGAAATCCATACTTAGCAAATTCACCAGCTTAGTAACACTTTCCCAGCTCTCAGACTTATGCATCTTTCGTTCTGAAATTACTTTCAAACCTATGCAATTTAATTGATCGTCATGAAAACTTGTATTTTTTAAAAAATGGGGTTTTCAATAGCTTCTGTCATTTACTCCAAATACACTGATATGATTTGGTTCGATTAGTGGTGTAGCGTTTAAGCAGCTAGAGTACTCAGAGCGCCACCATTACCAGGTCAAGTGGCGGCAGCTTCTTTTGACGATTTTTTAGGAAACGTGTCCAAGTGTTGTCCAGTTGGTGTGTATCGCACTCGCCCAGAGATGGTGTGTCTAAGGGCTTATGCTGTATTCGCCGATGGATGGTGCGTTCAAGTGGTGCATTGGCAGCTGCGACTGTGTGCAGGCACGTGTGTCCAGCTGAAGTCGATCAAGTGATTGCGGGTCAATGCGTATGGGACCACCGGTTGCGAGGGCGAATGACCCCGAGACAGTGAGGTCCTGGGCAAAGACGTCAGACACTGGCTGTCGGAAAACAGCGGTGACACACGACCTGTGAGCAGGAGGCAGTACTTAAATCTAGGGAACAGCCGATTCATCAGCAGCAATAGCTAAGACAGCGGGTGTATCTTCAACGTCACACTCAAAATCTAATGTTTTTTAAGGATTTGCATGGTAAAACCCGCTGGAAATCCCACATTGGACCCTAAAATAACCCTTCAGACAAATAGTTCCTTCCAGTTGCTTCACAATTAGACAGTCCTGCGGAATGAGCTGGCTTTTGGAGGAATTGTAAACAAAAGTTCGCGGCTGAGTCCTGCCTACTTACACTCAAGTGCCCGAGGAACTCACACCACCGGCACTCCACACCCCAACGTTGCGAAAACACTTGAAGTGTCGATAGAAGCGAACAGGCGAGTTCCAGGAAGCAGTTCAGAAGAAGATGCGATCAATGGAACAAGAATTTTATTAGCCCCTCCTTGTGACTTTCTATTATGATGGGTTCAAGTGAGAATCCGAAACGTCAGACCAATAAACTTCTTGTCCCAATGATCGCATCTTTTTCTTTCTCTGAACTTCGAGTGTCCTGCGAGGCTCGATAGTATTAATTACATAAACACATAGTACTCACGTTAAGTAAGTAACAAACAAACTTAACTACTGAGAGGGGCTGCAGGGTCGATTGAATGAGTGACACTAGCAGGTTCTAGAGAGAACTCCAAGGGAAAGTGCAACAAATTGCGTGACCTCACAATGTCTGAAAAGGGCGAAAGTGCTGGGTCGGATCAACTATTGATCAGGCCGCAGGAGTCACATTCCCAGGGATGCGGCTTGATCAGAGAGCAATATCCAGGTGGGTGAGGGTTACTTCGGGCTGAGCGGACCACCATCAACGCTAGGTAACCTGCAAAGTCCAACCTCTCTCGAAGTTAACTTGACTTAGCCTTGAAATTAGGACCTGAGAGGAAAAAGACACTGACAATTCGTTTTTCTTTACACTAATCAGACACCACCGAAAACGGGGCAGCTTGAGGATGGCAGTCCTCCAGTTTGGAAAGTAACTAGTTCTTCCAAAGGGGTTCGTAGCGGCTAAGATAAAAGTGATTACTCTAGCCGCACAACCATCGGATTCAGCCCCCTTTACCCGAGGAAAACGGAAAATACCAGAATACAAACGATTGGGCGCACACTGAGACCTGGGCTCCTGACACTGAAATTAGCGACTCTCGGCGAGGCCAGAACACGGGGAAGCTACGCTCGAGTGGTCTACCGCATGGGCATACTTGCCGGAGCGAGTTGAAGGGTGTCACATTAGATGCAAGTGGCTATGATAGTCTCAGCTGCAGTCAGCAAAATCAATCATTCTGATCGTAAGTTCAGCACGACTGGGAGGGCGAATAGTCCTCAGGTTAAATAATAGCGTCTTGTACTATTTTGGCAGCAGGATACAGGCCCGAGGGTGCACCAAAGAGGATAGTTCGCAGCAATCTATTCTACCAATTGTCGACACTGTGTGTCGTCTCGGACATAGGAATGTTCCCCCATTCGGACGGCGGATACTTTGGTTTGGACTCGATCGATTTTGATTCGCCATGACAATTCAAAGAATTGAGTGCTGGTACCTCAGCACCTAGAAGTAACCTGGTGCACCGGTTAGGAAACTGAATGAAGCATGAACACCACAATAATTAGAACCCAGTCTTGTTGCGAAAGAGAAGGCGGAAGACATGTATTCTGTTAAAAGACGCAGTGGTGGTCAGAACCCCTCATGCGCGTCTGTGCGATCGGGTAATGTGGGCGTGAATGACTGTCACATTAGAGTTAGTCATTATCATCTAGTTGAGTTGGTTGCGGAATCCGTGAGCGTCTGTGACTGGCTGTTTTAGAGGCCGCGTGTGTTCGGGACCGTGTCCGCATGACTTCCATGCGTCAAGGTAGAAGGCTGATACTCACTTGTATAGTGACCCTATTGAAAACGGTACATGCAATACAAATGCTAACTACACATCTTACTAACATTTTGCCAGTAACATATTTGTTTGTGGAAAACGTTTGTACAGTGCGGGACCGCGGGTGCGGCAGGCGGTCTTCCCAATGTACATATGAAATTTTAAGTGCAATCATATACAATCAGCATAAGGCGAAGTCATTTGCGTGGTTTGGGAGGGGAAATTTCATTAAACGTCAGGGATGTGTTACATAGAGATTAAATTAAGAAATGAAATTTATGACTGGCCGCAGATAGTCCCGCAGCGAGAGTCGTCATTTATCAAAGGTCAAACAATCTAGCTGCCTTTTGAATACAACCATTGTATCAGATGCCACTATTTCATTTGGAAATGAGTTCCATGGTCGAAAAACACGTAGCCTGAAGGAAGACTTCCGATAGTCTAGGCGTGTATGCCCCCGCTTGACTTTGTACTTGAGGCGATTCAATGGCTCAGAAGTCATTTGGGCAATGATAGATGGAATTACCGAAACCGACAGGACAACGGGCCCCTACTTAGAGGCGCGGACTTACAACTAACAGGTCGCAAGTTCGAGCCGCAGATGTTCAACACTTCAGGATTGGGTATGACTGGCTGATGACGGCTGATAAGCAAGAAATGGTCATTCCAGTCCCCCTTGTCCTTTTCGGCAATAATAGTATGACTTGTAAGACACAACTGGCCTAAATGATTTGATGCTAAAACAGTGCAGACTTTCAAAACCTCACCCTTTGAAAACTGTTAAGAGTAGCCACCCCAACCGACTCGTTCGCACGCCGTCCTATCGATCCGGCCACACGGCTTGCGCATTTTTATATCATGTAAGCCACCGACAGGATAAGATGAAAGCCCAGTCGCTCAGATGAGTCAGAAGTATAGTCGACACGCTAACAGCTCAAGACCACGATCTGATTGGCTCAATTCCAAGCCGGCCTTAAACATTTCTGTATGCACCTTCCATCGCCAGATTTTCGCTGCTAGGACTCAGCAATAGACTTCTTCGCCTTCTACCCATGATCGCGGAAAGTTGTAGAACGGGCTACCAGCTAGGCGCTCCGACCAGAACACAACCACAACAGCATAACACGATGCTCGTGGAGCTGCGCTGACCAGTCATTTCGCTCCATTTACTTCTCCTCCCCCGCCAGGACCATCATTTCAATAGACTAAGCAACATTAAAGACATGTCCGACAAGGTTTCAAAACAACGCACTGAAGCTCCGAGCTCCTCAATTGGGCTGTTTGCGGAGAACAGGGCGCTCGGGCGACAAGGCGGATTCAGAGATGGCTAAATCGGACTTTGTTGCTGTATGGCCTAAGGGAAATCGTGTGGATTCGGCCATTAGTTTATGGGCACAGTGATTCTAGTCCGAAAAAGTTGAACAAAACGATGAAGCAAACTGTCCAATACGGACATAAACAAAGCTTATTTAAGGTAGAAACTTAGTGAATCCATAAGGTTAGGAGGAAAATATAACTAAATCACCGAAGCGGTGCTTTCATTTTGAGCATATGGTGAAAGGAAGAAGAGTGAACGAAAGGATTACATGATCTCAGAAAGACCTGCGCTAGAGTCGCGAAAAGGAAGTGCAAACTATCAAGTCAGTTACTGATTAACCAGTCTAGTAATTGAGAAACCAAACAGGGAGTTCGCGACGGAAGGCAAAAATAGAATGTTGCTCCTAGGGACTGACGTCACCTCCAGCTATTGTGAGGTTAGCTTCGTTGAAGGGGATCTGAGGCGAAAGTAATACAAGGAAGCCACTATTAAAAAGGCGCCCAGTGCAGGTTTTTTAGAGGCCACGAGACGGACTTTTTGGGTTGTCAAGAGAAAACTCGTAATTCCTGTTAGCGTGTCGGCCCCTCAACAGGGCGATGACCGAGGCAAGCGAATGCGCACGCTTGACAAGACACGGTCTACTTACATAATAAAAGTAGCAGTTATTATTAATTCGTAGTTCGGCCGGTCCAGAGAGGAAAACGAGAGAGAAGACAGAACAACGCGAGTAACGTGTAAAAAAATAATTCGAGGCCTGTAATAGCCGTACAATACGAATACTCTGTACATAAACAGACGGATAATATCAAGTAAAATAAGCACTCAGTGTCATGCTAAGCCACAAAGGTCCCAATTCCTACACTCATTCAACAACGGAGGAGTCGATGCAATCCATGGAGGTGCCCCCTTCTTCCTGTTCAGGATCTTCCTGCATCTCCTGGTCAAGACCAGTGAAGTCAAAGCGCACCGGCAGACAGCGAAATGTCTGCAGTTCGAGAAGAACCAGAGTGTACGTCCTATCAAACCGAGGCACGGAGATCATCAGGGCCCCCTTCGACTCAGTGTCCTCAGCAGTAGTCCGCGGACTCCAGGCCGAGAGCGAGGCCCTTCGCCAGGCCGCGGTGGCTTGATTGCCCACCACATAGATGTCAGGGTAGTCGGGAGAGGGGACTGACACGTCCTGTTCTCTCGCCCGTTTCTCACCCACGATCTTATCAGGCAGGGTTGTTCGCAGCACGAGCGGGTCTCTGTCCGCAAGCGGGTAACCAAACAGCGTGTCTGGGCAGGTGGGCGCCAGGTGGCCCCAGTGCAGAGTTGCTTCCATGCAGCCCAGAGCATCCGAAATTTCCGTGTACCTACAGAGGACATTGAAAAAGGAACAACAGTAATGGACAAGAAGAGAGTATTATCTTCAATGTTCGCATAGAGCTGAGGTATTTGTGAACCGTCACTCATTGAGAAGGCAGGAAAGTTCGCTTTAGTTGGAAGTAGCACCTCGTGTACTTCTCTCGTGAAAAGTGCGGCGGTTAACAGAATTGAGACGACTGGTATAATTCATACCGGTCTCGCAAAATCTTTTGCGCCTGGTGCAGACGTTGGAACGTCCATGGCCATTCCGCATCGTAACGCTGCTCACGGATAGCTTGTCCGTCAAACTCGACGGCGACCACGACTACCTGGAGAGGCACTAGAAACATGCGTACTCTTGCATAAACCCTAATCCGTTTTCCCACATCCAATATATCCCAAACGACCGCAGATCAGCTTGATGGCCATAAGGCAAAACTAAGAAGGGACTGGCCTCAAATGCGACTAGCTTGGGACGACCACTTCGTTCAGACCGGCACGTAGTGTGGTTATTAAGACATACCGGAGCCCATAAAAGAGGCAAACGCGTGCTAGTATTTTGAGGCAGCCAATAAGAAACCCCTCCGGGCACCGAGGTGCAGAAAAGGAAGTCAACATTAGTTAAAGTAAAAATGGAGGTGAATACTTGGAACTACGCATTAGTCAGACGTAGTGCGGCAAAATGCCAGTGTGGAGCCAAACGCATATTCAGTATCCATCTGACATAAGGCAGACCCAGCGGGCGCGTGGCGCAATGGATAACGCGTCTGACTACGGATCAGAAGATTCCAGGTTCGAATCCTGGCGTGCTCGCCTGTTTTGTTGATCGCACAACTAATGGCAGGGAGTGTTGGAGAGTGTTCAGATTCGTCTCCTTGGCCTATGATGTTACTGATGCTCGGTAGCGGTCTGGTCTGTTGTACTCTTAATAAGCCGCCGTCATTCCCGTTCATCTCCCTCCCATTTTTGCCATTTCTCAAGGCTGTGAATGTCTCCAACATGAGTGAGTGGACAGTGGCCGCCCGGCACAACCGTGATGCACGCTGTAACTGCCTCCTGCCCGTCATGGGTCGTGTTCCGAAGGCCACCCCGCCTACCACGCCGGCACCTGACTCCGCCACGGAGAAGACGGTCCCCGTGGTGACCAAATCGCAAAAGTCTCTCACAGACATTAAGAGAACCCTGGACTCCACCTTCACCACCTACATGGCCAAGTTCTCTTCTAACATCACGGTAGGTGGTGCCACCCTGGCGTGGGGCAGTCCCACTGTCATTTCACTCTTGCATCTAAATTGTCATCCACCGATTGGTGGCTGTCTTGTTTTTTTCCTGGCGTGCTCGCCTAACTTTTCGCAATATTTCCCCTGCTGCCACCTTGATTTCCTGCGTTTACGCCAAACCCGTTGACAATACTTTCCAGCTCTTCTTCGCTGCGCGACCGGGTGGAACTCTGGACGGCTATTTCCAGCTAAAGTAGAAGACGGGCTGGCGGGACACATGTAAACTTGCCTCAAAACAGCCCTGCTTAAACGGGGATATTCAACACGATTCATCAAAAAAGTATAGCAACACTTTAGGGCCAAAATTGACGGAGCAATGAGTTCCGAAAAAGCCCGTTGTAATATCCTTACCCTTTATGGGCGACAGCATCTCAAATACCATCAAGCGGCGATTGAGATGTGCTATTGAAAGAACTTACAATTCAGCTGAACTAATATTCTGCAGCCCAACTATGGCTATCCAAGTTCCACGGGCGAAGGATGCATTGCCATTGCACGCCACGTCAAATTGTGCCTACGAATTCACATGCACTTGTGGATGCAAGTACATTGGGCGAACGCCAAGGCAACTGGCAGCCAGGGAAGTTGAGCACCTGCCTAAATGGCTTCTAAAGCAGGAGAATAAGATTCCACGGTCTTTTATTACAAAACATCTCATTCATAGTGCCCATTCGGTTGACCCCAAAACATCTTTTCGAGTATTGGTTCGAGCACGAACAACTGCGCTACCTGGAGGCAGCCTACATGCGGCGGGAAAAACCCGCCTATGTAAACAGTTAGACCACGTGGTCAACCTCAGCTTGCCCTGGTAGATCTGAGCCCTTTTGATTTACGAAATCCCTCTGCGTGTTAACTTCCCCATTTTCTTTCCTATGTTGTGTTTTTCAAGTTACCATTTCATTGATTAGTCTACGTGCAGTATACAATGACCTTGCTGTTTTCCATTGATTTTCTCTGTGGAAGTTCAAACCTCTGTATCTTTCTCACTTGTTATCTGTGTTATGCAACGACAGGCTGCAGTTGATAAGCCGTCGCGAAATTTTCTGGTACCATTAAATTCTGCTGTCTATGCCTGCTTTAAACACGTAAACTTGCAGAGGTTTGGCTTTCGAGACGGGTTTTGGTGTTGGCCAAATTTACCGGACCGGATGAACTACTTGGAGTGATTGTGAAATAAGAACTAAGTGAGACTGTTGGCCCTTCTTGCGAGTTGTTGACGCGAACAGCCTGATACATGTATTGGGGAGGAGGCCGCACGTGGCACGCGTAGATGGTCTGTTAGGATTTGTCAGTCGCCACGCCCAATCGCATCAACAGTTGGCTAGCAGGCTCGAAGAGTCGACATCTAAGAGCTTGGGAGAAAAAGGAGCGAGGCTGAAACTAGGGAATCCATCTGCACGGCACATCAGCGTCCTCTTCATTATAATACACCTGACGCGCTTGAATCTAGCACGGCGCATTGAGAGTCGTACGACTCGAACCAGTAGGGAAGGCTAAATCGATGACAGTCTTGCCGGTTGGTATGCAATTCCATGCCAATTTACTGCAATAAACATGCTACTTAAATAATGCTAGCAACATATTTATAGACATTTTTTACAACGTCCGACTTGAGTTCGTCATAGCGAGATGGACCGTAGTAGAGGGGCGCTCACCAATCATTCTTGCAGAACTCACTCGTCCCGTTGTGCCTTACGGGCTCTCTCTCTCTCTCTCTCGAGCCCAACCAGCAGCCACACAACGGCGCATGATATGGGCAGAATGTCATTACCGAATAAGACAAGGGAGACCGGAGTGGCCAGTTCTGGCCGTCGTCAGTCAACCACATCCAATCCCAAAGTGTGGAACACCTGGGGCTCGATCCCGCGACCTGTTGGTGAGAAGTCTAACAGTACAATGGTAGAGGGGCGCCCACCCAGATGGACCGTGCTCGACAGCACTCCTTGCTTAAATGCATGCAGAGCTATGGTTCTATTCTTGGTGTTGTAGCGCCAAGGCAAGAATCCGTCGATCGGACACAAGTGGATTTTTCACAGGCCGGGCCGACAAGAGCAAAAAAACCAGAGAGACCCACCGCAAAAGATCCGCGATCGCCTGCCCCGAAGTCGCGAGAATGGTCCGGCCGCAGATATTAGTGTACACGGGGTTTGTGGTACTGCGCAAGGCACCGGTTCCAACACCTCCAGCCCTGCGAACGGCCTCCGGCAAGATAGCAGCATGCAGAGGCTGTTGTGGAAGCATGTGGCTCACGCAGTCTGAGGGGCCCGGCAGTATGTCCACCGAGAGGCCATTTATGACTGTTGGTGTTGTATCGCTAGCACCAGGACCCAATGGCAGGTTAGCCAACCAGGAGTCGAAGAGGTGCATCGCAGTCACCGAGTCCGCATCGGTCTTGCGAGTCAGATAGCGAGCCTGACGGCGGGTGGTAGAGGGTAGATAACAGGGTGGGGATGTAAATGCGTGCATGTTAACCGCAAACAGAAATAAGTCAAGAAGATTCAGTATGGCATAATGGAGCAAAGTCAAAGCGGAAGTAGCCTCAACAGTAGAAGTTTTATGGACCGATATTGGCTCATAGGTAGCTGAGCTGAAACAAACACGCTCTTTGTTAGTGCCTATTTAGTGAGCCTCACTCTGGAGTGATTGTTGACGACCAATAAGTAGTCGGCTTTGGGGACTGCTACCTGAGGCCCCCAAGGAAGAATAGATGACTCGTCTTCCATCCTGCAACCGAGCTAGATTAGAGACCGTTGCTACCGCGTGATCACAGCATTGACTAGACAGACAAACAGTGAGCAGAAGTAGAGCATGTTTTAGGCGGCAAGGCAGACACGAACCTTTACCTTCAAGTGCTCCACCAACTGCCCTGCCTACCGATGTTGTAATCTTCTCCCGTGTGCATTCCTTCAAGCGTAGACTTGACGCGCACCAAGCTTCCCAATTACCAGCCTCACATCCACCCACATAACCGGAAAAACTTAGACGTGTTTATACTACTTTTAATTAGCAAGTAACCGTTAATGATTACTCTTTTTCGACCAACTGTCGGCTGTCCGCGATTATATACAAAATCACTTTTTCACCTTCCCGCTTATCAATATTTTTCTCCGACGACTTGTAACCAATAGGGAGTTCAAGGGCGCTCGCCTATATTTCCCTTGATAAACTGAAGCTGAGTTTTCGCAGCTACGCCTGCGAAGCAATTAGTGCCCTGACCAGGAGGGCGTGCGACTTCTCTGCTGTGATTGCAATGCAGAAGTATTGCTTGGAGGAGATTGACAGTTGCAGTCAATAATACCCCTGACGGTAAGGCATTTGCACCACGAGGACATGCTTACTAGTTTCAGCGGAGTCTGAATGGTGATTTAGCCGTGCTTCCGCAGGCAGCGGACAGTAGAGCAGCCTTTAAAGAGACTCGCACACTCTCGGATTTGACTAACAAGCAGTCGCGGGTCAAACGGCGGTTATGACCTTGAGTCTGGCTGGGTCTTAACCAAGTAAATAGTGAGTCATGGTTCTCAGGCCCGCAACCCGCCAACAAGTGCAATGACCTCCCGTCACCGTATTCTGTGCTGAGATTTTCACTGGACAGGGGAATCGCTCATGTGGGGAGGGCGCGGGCGAGCAATAATCCTAGTGACAGCGAGCCAAATGGTCGAGCAACCGTCACGCCAACAGCCAACGCGGATGATGAAACTGCGGCAATTAACGACCCGGAAGCCGACTGACAGGCCAGCATCGCACTAATTGCGACTACCCCCGGCAGTGATCGCGAGTGCTGTTAATTATAGTACGCATGTGGTTCCACGGCAGCTAGGTACTATAAATAGTGCACTCCTTGTGCCTCCCCTACCTCTATTTGCGACTGTTTCTGATGATGGGTTCGAGTGAGTATTCGAAACGCCAGGCCAATAAACTTATTGTTCTAGTGATCGCATCTTCTCCTCCTGCACTGCTTCCTGGAACTCGCCTGTTCGCTTCTATCGGCAAAAGTTCACAGGTCATTACGGTATTACAACACTGTAAAATAAAATTTCGACCGCCGTCCGGTACAGTCACAGAGCTTTAGAAAGGCACTCCGGAAGAGTGGATGACTTCCGCCTTCGAGCACATGAACTACAGGATATCTATCTGCCCTCTGAATCGCACATTTAGTTTTCAACTGATTCAAAAAATCAAGCCCCACAAAACGAGATATCCGGGAAAACAGCAGTTCAACTTTGATCAAGCAGTAGGGGGACAGTGGGAAACAAAAAGTCGCAAACGAAGCGAACCTGCTGAATAAGACCGACTGTTTCGCCTTCCGTAACGCCCATTGGTCTGATGGAGTCACCCAGAATCATCAGTTTCACCAAGGGAGGAAAGGTATCTGATAGCGTGATAGCTCCACGCAACCAGTCGCCAAGTAGAGTGAGGGCCAGGGAATGGCTCTCACTGACTTCAGAACCGGTGCCAACAAAGCCCAGACCGGAAACAAAGGCGACACAGGGTCCGAGAGAAGAGAAGTTTGCGTAGGTCAAGTCTGCAACGCTGCTCGTCGTGATTGGATGCTCTGGACCAGGCTCCAAAAAGAGCGCATCTGAGACTGTGAAAGTTCCTGTTGGAAGAAAGGGATCAAAAAAGGCGGAAATCAGAGGTGAGGCACACGGAGCGGAGAATGTAACGGAGAGGGAGAGGGGGGAGGGAGCGGGAGAGCCCGACCTGGAGTGGACTCCAATTCTCGGCCGCGAAGAGCCACGACTACGCCTGTGACCAAGTGGGCTGCAATCAGGCGACAGTCCTCGAAGAAGTCCGAATCGGAGGCAGACAGGGCGATCCGCTGGACTTCATCCTCCAGGAAGACCTGATCCTCAGCGGTGGTGAGTCGGGGTCTGGAGAGACCGTCAGCAAAGAGAGGTACGAGTCCAGACTTTATGCTGCCCCCTTGCTCCAACTCGGCCAGTTGGCGAATGACGCTTGGCCTGAGACTCATCTCCTGAAAGGTGGGATGTATGCGGTGAAAGAGGCGTTTGGGCAAAAACGGTTCTAATTTACGAAATTTTGGAAGGAAATTGAGTATAGCCCTCACCGTGATTAAAAGGGCAGGCGGACCAATGGGGTGTGTGTGTGTGTGACATCATTCGCGCATTAGAACCTCTAATGACTCTGTCGTAAATATACACCAAGACAAGTTACTACGTAGGTGGATTCGGGGGAAACCAGCCAAGTGGCTAAAAACAGTGTCGACATGCCAGACCGTCCGACATTACCAAGGAAGGTTGAGCTAAATGGGATAAAGAGAATACTGAGACTTTGGTAAGTAATATCTTGATAGTAATGAAATGCGAGTCGCAATTCGCCTATCGAATCCTTTCAAAGCTGGCGTATGACTAGTCTCAGGAATACTGACATGAGGGCTTATAGGAAATACGCGTGCTGCGATTGGTTAGTTCAGCTTGGTACAGACGCGAACAGACGGCCATTGGCGAACTCGGTACAAATTCGACCGCTGCTGGGGGCACTAGTGAAGTTAATTTTGATCTCAGTCTACATGGGATCATCAAGGTTCGGGCAAGACAAATTCTCTTCCCATCGAGACGCGACTGGACATGACAAATTAGTCTATTAAATTGAATCAGGAACCCTACCAGACAGGATGGAGGAATAGGGCGGGTTCCCTGTCACCCCGACGACTTTGGTTCCAAGTTAATTGTAAGTGCTTCTAAAACTAAATTATTTTCCGGCCAGGGTCGGGACAGCCCTACACTTAACAGCTGTCAGCCAGAATAAGTTGGCAGTTCCAAATACGAAAGTAATACCTCCATCTGAAATCACTGAGTAAATGTAGGGACAAGCGACTGAAACTAGGTTTATCAGGTCCAGTTTCGCTTTTTACGAATGCATTCGAGTCGAGTACTTTGAACGTCGGCGGAGTAACCACACGATGCTTAGACCCGCAAATCGTTTAGACGTATGTGCTGTTCTAATCAATCATTTCTAGAGTATGCTAAATGACATACTGCGCGCTAATTTAAAGAAGCTCAGAAATCCTAACCGTAAAGGAATGACTGCACAGACGTCTAGTAAGCGAAAATCCTGATGGTTAGACGAAGAACAAACGCCCCCTCACGACATTATCTCCTGGACAACCGACCACTTGAGGCCGTAAATTGCAAAAAGACCTTAGCGTATTGATAAAAGAGGACTTAAGCGTCATCACGCAGTGTCCTAAAGTCGCAGCGTGGGCAATGTCAATCATGCGCGCGATACGAAGGACATCTATTAACTCGAATGCAGATGTCTCTGGCAAGGTATGTGGGGCATTTGTGCGATACCGGCTTGACGTCCGCGGCTTCGGAAGGACAAAGATATTCCTGAAGGTGTACAACGACGTGCTACAAAGGTTGTGCATGAACTCAGAAAATTTTACGTACGAGCAGCGCCTGAAGAGCTTGAACCTCTATCCCTCCCACTACAGGCATGACGGAGGTGACCTCATAGCAACGTTTCAGTTGCTAAGAGGACTTGATCTGGATGTCGACTGGAAAACTCTTTTTGAAATGGAACCAAAATCGAGTCTCAGACGACATGATTAGCAGCTTAAAAATGAACTGTGACACATCAATCAACGCTCCTTCTTTTACTTGTAGTCATTCGCGAATGGAATTCTTTACCGACGTACAGTTCACATTCCCCTATAATGAGTGTGTTCAAGGGACATCTGGATACTCGCGAGCTCCCCAAGTCCCATCTAGTGGATTACTAAAATGACTGCCAACATACTGCTGACACGAGTTTAACGGATCGTTTTGTGTACCTTAAAATTGACCCAGATGAAAATTTCCCAGTCCGAATGCGGTGAACGTGTTTTCTTCGCCGTTATTTCGCCAATGTCGCACCCTTTTCACATTTGTACTTCGTCATTGGTTTTATGTATTCTGCATACCAAAACTACATGCAAAAATTTTCGCAACCCAACTACTTTTCATGCAGATCTGTGCCGTTTAAATGGAGTTTTAAGGGCTCCTGTCATTTACTCCAAATATACTGACTATGATATCCCAAGAGGTCTACACACCCTTCGAAGGCCTGCGAGGCTCCTGAGAACAGTCTTCCCTACTCTGTCCACTTGACAACAACTTCGCCCAGAGATATTGGAAACTTCATATTTATCCAGACCGGCAAGCATTAAATACGAGGGTGCATCCCCCCGCGCGCGACGCTTCTGGTCGACACGGTGTGGCGACCGCCCTATGGCAACAAACGGACCTCTTGCTACTTGCGGTTGTGAATGTTGGGCTTTGCGCGTGGAGGACGAGCGAAAACTGGAGATATGTGACCACCACTGCTTGAGGACCGTCCTTCGAGTGAAGTTCACCGACTTCGTCTCAAATGAAACAGTCCGCGCTCACTGCGGCAACATCGAAAGGATAACTCAGGCCATCCAAGAAAGACGACTGAAGTGGTTCGGGCATGTTCTTCGTCGTCCACCTCAGGAGCTCAGTATTACTGCCCTCGATCCAGCACCGTTGACCCATTGGGGGCGTCGAAGAGGGGGTCAGTTCAAAACCTGGCTCGACACAGTTCGTCAAGACATGGAGGTGGTTCTTGGCCCTTCGGTATTCGGTCTACGTCGCTGGCAAACGGAATGGGTTGAGCTGTCCAGATCTGCTGTCGCTGATCGTCAAACGTGGAGAGGTACAGTTCGTGACATCATCGAGGCCGGCTAGATTAAGCATGATCACAGCCATATCAAGTACAAGTAAATACAAGTGCATCTCCCCGATCAAAAATGAGACTCGGAAAGCACTAGTTTCCACAATGTTTGCGGACAAACTGACTAGTTTAACGGCCCCATGCATTCGAGACACTGAATTCCGTATGACCCGACACTAACATTGACAACGAGAACATTATCAGTCGGCCAGCCTCTAGTTGCAAACTCGATATCATAAGAGCCGTCTAGAGTCCTTCCGGGAATCTAGTTGTGTGTGGTTAAACGGGGCAAGCAACGGAATGCAAGATTGCTGAACGGCAGAACGAATATCGAAGGGCCAGGAGACTGGTGTGGATCAGAACTCGAACAGTGTTGGAGTAATAACAAACCTCGATCATGGCGACCGTTTCGTTCGCAGGCTGACTGGTTCCATTACTTGCCACTGGGACCAACAGTGAACGGAATCGAACGCTACGGCGAAGTCGACAAAAAGACGGCCATAGGCTACTGATGATCAGATGGAATTCAGGAATGCACCGGACTGTGAATGTTTGGCCAATGCACTCATGTGCAGACCGGATACCGGTTTGGTTGGGTATCGTCTTCGAGTCACGCACACGATTAAGCCGTCTGAGAATCACAGGGAAATATCTATGCAACAACGTCAACGAGATGACCGTTGCCATAGTTTTCACACGTCTTATTTCTTGTATATAAGATAGACACGAGGGTGTCCGAACACAAAACACCAGGAACGATCGCATTTCACTCGACTTGCTAACTCCCCTTACAAGGCCAGGACGCTAGCGCGAAAAATGACTTGCAGACGTCAGTGGGATTCTGCTGACTAGGTGCGTGTTTTTGGCGGACAGCACGAGTATTGTATCAGTGAATTCTTCCAGGGATGGCGGCTAACACGACATTCTATGAACTGGAGATGGATAACTACTGCAGAGAGAGGTAATGCCTTGTAAAGCTGCGTAAAGTGCTTACGACAGCGTTTGGTCTTCCGTGAGTTGTCGGCAACAAGACCGTCAGTCACACCTCGAGGATTTACTAAATTGAAAGGGCAGTCATTGAGTCCCGAAGACGTTTGGGTACTGCTTCATGGGGGTAACCACTTCAGCAAAAATAGTTCTCGCGGTCATCACTAGGTGACTTTGTCATCATGCTCCGGACTTAATGGGATGAATCCTCGTCGAAAGATTTGGCTCGAGCTGTTAGCTGTTAAGTGGGGAGCCAGTCATTGCGATGCCACTGGATGAATAAGCGAATTTCCTTAACAACCTTATGAACCGAGGACCTTAATGATAACTATCTGCCGATTCCATCTCCTTTGACTGAACCGAGGACCTTAATGATAACTATCTGCCATTTTCATCTCCTTGGACTCAAAGTAAAACCGCAGTTTTGTGTTCAGGATTTCAGTTATGTTGCATTGTCGTAATTGTCGTACTGGAGCACCTAGTACGAACGACTTTGGAGTTAGTGAGAGGAGAACCCTGAGACATGCGCGAACGAAAACATGTTCTGACCCATGAGGGTGGTTAGTTTTGGAACCCCGTATCGATCTGCTTGCACGAACTCAGCTGTGGAACATTTAACCGACTAGGATGTAGTCAATGCGACTGGCTGCACGACCATCACTCGAAAAACGGGTTAGCGGGTGTTTGAGACAGTGCTGGAATTATTTGGGTTCTGTTCCACGAAGTTCAACATCGAGGGTCAAGCCCAAATCGGCCGATAAGGTGGTTGTTTCAAGAGTCGCCTGCCCAACCAGTCCTTGGCAATAGTTAACAGTTCAATAATTGTTGAAACTACAAGTAGGGCTTTTTATCATGCTAGCCGGCAGTTGATGCTGATGCGTACATAAACCGACGGTAGTAGAGAAACTTGTTTACTAAAGGTCCGAAGTTACAACCGGCTCTCATTGGGAGCGTCCCGATATCCGCCGCCCGTGGACGAGCCAACGCATCTGCCAGCCTAATGATAGAGAATTAAAAATGGACAAAAACCCCATGTTTACATGATTCAGTCTTCACCTGCTAGAAAGACACGTCAACTAATTTAAAATCCCCATAATTGAAGCGATTGGGACCCACCCGCTAGCTGGGCCTGCTTTTCAAGATGTTGAGGAGGTGCGTGGACCCTCGATCAAGTTCACCGGTGCAGGTTATTGTGCATATGAGGGTTAAGTGCGGGAGTTCATTGATGTTTGCCATATCAACCGAAAGGAAAGTCTGAATAATTATTAATAAGGGCAATACGTATGTGTGAATGGTCCACAAAATGAAGTATTTACTTGACAGCGGGGAAGCGGAGTACTTCCGTGTAACTTAGCATGTTACGAATAAGTCATGCAATTCGGTTTAGATGGTAATAAAACGGCAAACCTTGTATAGTGTTCCGATGATAACGCACTCCTCATTGGTTTGAATGTCGGCCAGGGAGCGAAAAGGAAGATTGGCACCAGCAGACTTCGAGGCGCCCCAGCGCTTGCACGCAGAGGCCTCGAGGGCCGGTCTAGCGGTCAGCAAACGACGGTTGTATATATCGGCAAACTGCGATGTGAAGCTGCAACTTCCAAGGTCGATCCGAAACCTATCCGACTGATGAAGTGCGTTAGCCACCGACGCCGTCATGACCTAAGTTGCGAACAGAGGGTTTTACACAGTTGGATGGGAGGGGGTAAAACCCAGTATAAACTTATCTGAGATCGCAAAAACTGTGGCTATCGGCGTTTTCACGCCGTACACCATCTGTCACTGGGAGCGAAAATGATACTGGATTTGAAGAAAGTATGTCGTGAAATCGAGGTCATAATACTTCTCGTGTTAAAATACTCAAAAACCCAAAGGGAGTTCCCAAGTCACAAAACATGGAATGGGATTGTCGTGGTTAGACAAAAACTGTATGGCTACTTCCAGCCAAATGTAAATATTGGGGAGGGGAGAGTAAGGCGCAATTATTTCGAAGCCACATTAGTACCCCAGATGATAATATGTTAGCCGTTGAGCATATACCATTTCTGCAATGGGAGTGCTAAAATGCGCCATAAATCCTGCTGAGGATAGGGATACATGCAGACATGTTGAGTCCACAATGAGAACCATTTCTTTATGCTGTGAAACTGATAAAACGACAGCTATGGGTTAGTAGACAGCATTTTATAGATGGTTCTGCCTAGCTGACATACCACATTTGAGGGTATTTTTAAAAGACAAGGCCCGATTTTTCTGCAAACTGGCAGTTAAGCAAAAAGGTACAGAGGAACCAGGTCCTTCGTTATGCCGCTAATTTAGGTAAGGAGCATTGTCCCTTTAAGTTACCTAAGGACCAACTTGCACGGTTTCGTGAAATTACAGTCAAAAAATAATTCCAAGGCGGTTTCTTACATTGGTGCAAAGCAAAGAGTCTAATGCTTTGCGCGACCCATCATCATTACAATCTTCATCCGACACTAACCCAACTCTAACCATTAGAATTACAGCTTGCTCACCTCGGCACACTGCTAGCTCCTTTTGTTGCTATATTTGCGATTTGGGGACCCTCGTCTGTGTCAGTTTAGCATAATTTGTTCATTAGTGTACTCTGACGAGTGGCGTCAATGCGGAGGCATTGGTTGCGTATGCCGTCAGGAGTCATCTCTGCTGGACATTCTGCCTAGGCATCTAGATTGAGCCGCTCGTCAAATCTCGAGATCGTCAGTGTGGTAAACACTACTTGCACACACGCTCGCGAAAACTGATTTGAAGCTGCGATCGAGCGCGGTCGAATGTGCTGGAAGCTACTTAGACATTCAACGATTTTAGAAGGGTACTTGCTGACCGGAGTGGCACGCGTAGTATTTCGGTCGCACGTAAACGAATCTCCAGTTAGTCAGATAATCAGTTACACACTTGCGGCAAAAACTAGAGTAGCTATTGGATGGCTACTCGATTGTAGGGTAACAGAAAGCTGGGTTCAATGAACCCTCGCGAAAAGCAAGCACAGAGAGGGAATTGGGAATTAGCGATGAAAAGGCTTATAATTAGAATAATTGGAACTTCAACGCCACGTGAGGTAAGGAAAGACGGCAGGAATCAAAAACGCATTCAGGAGACCAAAAAACAACCTAGAGGGAATTGCCTCTAGGCTTTTACGAACGCCATCAACGTGGCGACGAATATGTGAGCATAATTAAGGCTGAAATTCCAGCATAAATATGTCGCCATAATTCTTACATAAAAGTAGTCAACGAACGCCTGCATTGTGCCAATAAAGAAGTAGAAAAATGCAGGAATTATGTCAGGACCTTTTTTATAACACTTTGTTATAACTAGAACATGCAAACGTGGTAAGGTGCTTTGAAGAGAAATGATATAAATGTCCCAATTAAACAGGGCTGAAATAAAGAAACAGTAGAATTCCAAGGGCAATGAAGCCGAAAAAGACATCTCTGATTAATTCATTGGCTTAGTTGTACATTTGCATCAGAAAAAGCGACCTCACCAAAACACCAGAACAGAACAACAGACAACGAATAAACTAACGAATTGAATTATTTAAACAAGGCTTGTTTATTCAAGTTGAAAAATTGAAAAATTTGGTGGCTTTACATACCAGTGACACCGGAGCGTGACACCAGAAAGTTTTCAAAAGTAATAAGAATGTAAGTGAGACATCTGAAAAAGCTGAATTTAAGGACGACATTGATCTTTCATTCAAAATTGTCCAACGGTTGTCTTCACTACATCACTCAGTCAGTCAGTGTATTTGAGGGGAAGAGGCTTACGCATTTGCACTCCCTAGTTGTACATAAAAATCGATAAATTAACAGAATGTTAAGAAAATCCAGCAGTAAGTGCATGCAGGCATTGATTCACATATGTCACTGGTCTCATGGCTAAAAAGTCGCATAGTCATCTTGGTGCTGTAGCATATGTCTGTCAAGTCTACCTTTAAATGTCGCCACAGATTGAGACATGACAGCCGCCTCGGGCAGATTATTTCACGGTTCCACAACACGGTTGGAGAATAAATATTTTCTCACATTCAGTCTACCCTAGGGCACACGTAGCTTTAAGGGATGCCCCCGGAGGTTAGTTGTTGTGGCGAGTTGGAAAAATTCATCGCACCGAAGGGCACAGTCCAAGCCACGCTCGATACGGAAAGTTTGTATCAAGTCTCCGCGCAACTGCCTATAACTCAGAGGATATAGATTAAGGTTAGTTAAACGGATCTCGTATGGCAGTGCACTTTGACCTCTTACTAATTTTGTGGCTCGCATCTGCACCCTTTCAAGCAGGTTGCAATCCTGATGTGTCCATGGTCTCCAGGCCTGAATTGCATATTCGAAGTGCGACCTTACAAAACTGCTGAAGACTTTGGAGAAGCAGTCTTCATCGAAATCTGCAAATGCCCGTTTGATGGCATATAGCATTGAAGTTGCGGTCTTGGCCGCATTACAACATTGCGTAGAAGGCTTAAGACTGTCTGCAACCCAGACTCGGAGATCTTTCGGTGTTTCTGCTTCTCGAAGTGGTATTCCGTTCAGGTGGTATTGCCGCTTACTAGGGGTCTGATTTCCAAGGCGCAGTATTGTACATTTGGTCAAATTGAAGGACAAGAGCCATCTGCGGGACCACTCGTCCAATCGACAAAGATTTTCTTGGAAGTTGGTATCATCGGTAGCATTCTGGATAACTTTCCAGATTTTTATGTCATTTGCAAACATGGCATTAGCACAGTCCAACCCATCTACACAATCATTGATGAACAAGAGAAAGACGGTTGGTCCGAGCACCGAGCCTTGTGGGACTCCACTCTCTATGAATGTGCGCTTTGATTGTTGTCTTTCTACGCAGAAAATTTGGGAACGGCCGACGAGGAAGTTCTCGATCCATTTGAGAAATTTTCCGCCGATGCCCATTATTCCCAGCTTGTGCATGAGACGTTGGTGCGGGACACTGTCGGACGCCTTCCGGAAATCAATATAGGCCACGTGCAGAGTGTGTTTTGCGTCCAGTGCTCTTGTCCAACTTTGCATTGTATATAAAAAGTTCGTTACACATGATCTTCCCCTACGGAAACCATATTGTGCATTGGACAAGAGATTGTGACTTGCAGCAAAAGCACGGCTACCGCTTTTGTAAAGGGGTGTAATGTGGGCCGTCTTCCAGTCTGTGGGAAGGATATCAGCATCGAACGATTCCTGGCACAGAAAGGATAGTGGTTTTACCAGCTCTCGAGACAAGCTCGAAAAGCAGCTTTGATGGGATCTCATCCGGACCGGGAGATTTACATTCCTTCAAGCTTTTTAGTTCTTCCAAAATCGCTTCTTCTCGAAACACGATATCTTCGATAGTGGGATCTCCCATGTTTTCGGAACTAGTTGGAATAGTCTGCTTCTCTTGTGATTGTAGATATTGAGAAAAATGCTCAGTTTTATTATACTGTCCGATATCTCCAAACCGTTATCATTCCTCATGACAGGAATGGGATTCTTGTTATGTGTGCTCTTCCGTAAATGGCTGTAGAGCAATTTCGGATTTTTAACGGCTCGATGAAGCAAATTACTCTCAAAATCCCATCGCCTCTTGAAAATCAGGCATTTCACCTTATTTCTTTGAACTTTATATTCTGCAAACGCTGCAATGTTGTTGTTTTCCCGAAATTTCTTCCACAATCTTCCTTTCTTATTGATCTCCTTTTTTAGTTCTCGTGTTAGCCACTAAGGGCGGTTGGATGTCCTAGGCTTTGATACGGGACAGTGGCTCTTCATTAGATGCAATAACCAACCCTTAAATAAATTCCAGTCCTCGTTAACGTTTCCGGAGAAGAGAACATCCCAGTCTGTTTGTGATGCCTCAGCTCTCATTTGGCAAAAGTCCCCTTTCCATATATTCGGCCTCGTATCCTTTTTTATGCGGCTCAGAATACAGCTCGTACTCCCATAAAAGTACTGCATGATCACTTTGACCCAGCGGGGATAGGTAGTACACCTCGTCGATACTGTCAGGATCTTTGGTGAAGACGAGGTCCAGACAACTAGCTTGTTGCCCTCCACTCTACGGTTTTCTTTAGTAGACGATAATCGAAGGCATTCTTCGAGCACTTCGCATGCATATCGCTCCATTGAATGCAGGGTGCATTAAAATCCCCCATGAGAACAACGTCTGGTCGACTGGCGATCTCTTTTATGCTTTCCAGTAGACAAGTGTCTGAGTCGGGATCCGCCTGAGGGGGCCGGTAGATAATTACGACTTCGAGGGAGTGAGATCCCCGTGCCTTTATAGTCAGCCAAATTGCCTCGGTGTCGTAAGAAATCTTGTCCGTTCTCTCACACACGCTTAAGTTGCTCTTTAAATACATGGCAACTCCTCCACCCCGGCGGCCCCTCCTGTTTCTCCTAAACAATTGGTATCCTGTAAGTGCTACCTCGCAATCCCCCACGTCCTCTGACAGCCACGTTTATGTTATTGCTATAACATCGGGAGGAGTATCGGCTACCTGTATTCTCAGTTCATCAAGCTTGGAAAACAGACTCTGCGCATTGGTGTAAAAGAATTTAAGTTTGCAACATTCGACAGTACTGCGTTCGGTTTGTCTCGGGCTTGACAATATTATGTCGCTGCCGCCATCATGATGACTGGCTGGTTCC